CGGGGCTGGCGACTCGATGACGAACCCACGCTGTCAGACGGCTCCCCAATCTCCGACATGCCTACCCGCCTTCTCGGCGACGCCCCTCACCAGCCGCCTGGTACCCGTCACGAGCACCACGAAGCCGCCGGTGGCGCCGGCGCCGACGAGCAGCCCGAGGAGAACTGACTGCCTACCAGACCACCCCAACCCAACCCGAAGAGCCGAATTTCGGGTTGGGGAGGGTAAGGGTTCCACATGTGTTTTTTCCCAACCATCCTGTGGTGTTGGGTCCTCGTTTTGAAGAGACGGTGCCCCGCGTTCCTTCCTCCTTCCTTCCTCCCTCCTCCCCCTCCCACACCCATTCTGGCACACCCCTCACACGTTTCGTGGCCCCATAGGGAGCTCCACCGAAGGCCCCAGTGGCTGCGCTCGCATGCGGTTCCACCCCCCATTCTGGCACACCCCTCACACGTTTCGTGGCCCCATAGGGAGCTCCACCGAAGGCCCCAGTGGCTGCGCCCGCATGCGGTTCCACCCCCCATTCTGGCACACCCCTCACACGTTTCGTGGCCCCATAGGGAGCTCCACCGAAGGCCCCAGTGGCTGCGCCCGCATGCGGTTCCACCCCCCATTCTGGCACACCCCTCACACGTTTCGTGGCCCCATAGGGAGCTCCACCGAAGGCCCCAGTGGCTGCGCCCGCATGCGGTTCCACCCCCCATTCTGGCACACCCCTCACACGTGGCCCCATTCGTGGCCGCCATAGGGAGCGTGGCCCCATAGGGAGCTCCACCGAAGGCCCCAGTGGCTGCGCCCGCATGCGGTTCCACCCCCCATTCTGGCACACCCCTCACACGTTTCGTGGCCCCATAGGGAGCTCCACCGAAGGCCCCAGTGGCTGCGCCCGCATGCGGTTCCACCCCCCGTTCTGGCACACCCCTCACACGTTTCGTGGCCCCATAGGGAGCTCCACCGAAGGCCCCAGTGGCTGCGCCCGCATGCGGTTCCACCCCCCATTCTGGCACACCCCTCACACGTTTCGTGGCCCCATAGGGAGCTCCACCGAAGGCCCCAGTGGCTGCGCCCGCATGCGGTTCCACCCCCCATTCTGGCACACCCCTCACACGTTTCGTGGCCCCATAGGGAGCTCCACCGAACGCTCCAGTGGCTGCGCTCGCATGCGGTTCCACCCCCCATTTCGGCACACCCCTCACACGCTTCGTGGGTGGCTCCATGGGGAGCTCCACCGAACGCCCCAGTGGCTGCGCTCGCATGTGGTTCCCCCCCCATTTCGGCACACCCCTCACACGGTTCGTGGCCCCATAGAGAGCTCCACCGAAGGCCCCAGTGGCTGCGCTCGCATGCGGTTCCACCCCCTTTTTCGGCACGCCCTTCACACGTCTCGTGGCCCCATAGGGAGCTCCACCGAACGCCGCAGTGGCTGCGCTCGCATGCGGTTCCACCCCCCATTTCGGCACACCCCTCACACGTTTCGTGGCTCCATAGGGAGCTCCACCGAAGGCCCCAGTGGCTGCGCTGGCATGCGGTTCCACACCCCATTCTGGCACACCCCTCGCACGTTTCGTGGCCCCATAGGGGGCTCCACCAAAGGTCCCAGTGGCACTGCCCGCTTGCGTCCGCCACCACCCAGCACAGCCCTTGTTCCCTGCGCTTCACCCACCCAGAACAGCGCTTCGTAGCCCTATAGGGAGCTCCACCAAAGGTCCCAGCGGCACCGCCCGCATGCGTCCGCCACCACCCTGCGCAGCCCTTGCTCCCTGCCTGCGTTTCACCCACCCAGTACAGCGTTTCGTGGCCCCATAGGGAGCTCCACCGAAGGTCCCAGTGGCACCGCTCGCATGCGTCCGCCACCACGCAGCACAGCCCTTGCTGACCGCGTCTCACCCACCCAGTACAGCGTTTCGTGGCCCCATAGGGAGCTCCACCGAAGGTCCCAGTGGCGCCGCCCGCATGCGTCCGCCACCACCCAGCACAATTGCGGCATTCACAACTGCATATGGTTGGGTCCTTCGCCAGGCTAATTCGATGTTTCCCGACCCCCCCACACTGGAAATCGAGGGCAAATCTGAGCCTTCGGGTTGGGTTGGGGTGGTTTGGCGGGTGGTGAAGAACGAGGACCAGCCCAGTGTGACTCGGCAAGCTTCAGGCCAAACCCTCCGCCGCGGGACAACGGCTCGCGTGGCGCGCGGGGCAAGGCGGGCACGCCGCCGGCTGCGGGCAAAAGGACCGCGGCTGGGCAGGCCAGCCCGGGGGCACGCCGGGACCGCCGGGCACCGCAGCACTCGAGCGTGCGCCTCAGACCTTTGAGAGCCCTGCACGGTCTCCCAGACGGCCAACCGTCGAAACACACCGCACAGAGCCAGGACGAGACGGGCCATCTCATACTGCACACACGTGTAGCTTTCATGTAGCGTGTACGATTCGACGCCAATGCACCCACCTCCAGATAGCTCAGCTCCTATCACCCGAAGGGTTGTCTTATCGGACCTTGTTGGGGCAATCCGACGCGAGCCTATCGCTAATATGCACTTCCCCCGAAAATATCCTTCTCACTCGAAGGGTGCGGTCCTAGAGGTGAGTCTATAGACAACGCATAAGTGCCTGATTATGTTTGTTTCCGGTGACTATTTTGAGCATCTCCAGGTCCACTGGCGAATTGGGTGTTCCCTGAATCTGAACCGCCTGCCCAATCCGCAGTGTTCCGAGATATTAGATCGCACTGCTAGCAAAGCTTCCCGTCCAGCGATCTAGGAGAAGTGCAGGCGAGGGTGGCTACCTAGACGAAAGCCTAAGGTGGTTCCTGAACCCGCCCCCCCCCCGTTGGCCAGAATGAATGAAGACGATGTGATGGCTATGGCGCGGGGGAGACCTGGGGCGGTAAGAAAAACTCCCCCGCGCTGGAAAACGAGGAGTGGGTACCAGGTAATAGAAGTTGGCGGCAAGTTGGCGGCGCGTAGAGGGGGTAGGGGGAGGGGGGAAGGTTTCTTAAAAGGAGGCTGCTTCTTAGAAGGCGTAGGAGTTACATCTACAGACAAGGCCAGCGCAGTCTGAGAAGCAGAGGTGCTTCTAAGAAACCTTCCCCCCTCCGCCGACCCCCCTCTGCACGTTGCCGAAGAAGCAAGGAGGAACGCTCAGCGTGAGAAATCGCTGCGGGAACGAGTGGACGATGGCCACATCAATGAGAACAAACGCGCAGTCCTGCCGAGCTGCCTCCGAGTGGCGACCGCGGGTACAGCGTCGGCCACGAAGCTGCAAGGGTCCCGAAGGTCCTGGATGCCCCTGGGCTGTCCCGACGCTACCGTGCGTGCGGAGATAGAAAGCATACAGAAACATGACTTAAAAAAAGAACATCGCGCGGACTGCCCTGCACTGGCGCTGGACTCCCCTCCCTGGCGCGCAGAGCGTCGGTGGCCGAGGCCGGAGGCCTCAGCGCGAAGAAGCCAGCGCCGATCCAGGAAACCCGCGCGGAGCTCCGCAAGTAGATCTTTGCGCCGCTGTTCTGGCTTTTCGAATCCGCCCGAAATGGGTACTGAAAGAATGGGCAGTATGCCCAACAACAAACGTTGTCCCAAGCCAACAGCGGCCGCTGTTGGGCAGGCGACCTTCTGTCTCGAATGGACACAGGCTGCGGAGGCGCGGACAGCGAGTCCTGTTCAAAATGAACAGGAATTGTTGTTGGGCATTTTACCCATTCTTTCGGTACCCATTTCGGGCGTCCAGAAGGGTAGCAGTCCCGCTGCCCTGGGACCCGGGAGGTGGGGAGGCCAAAAGGTACCGATGCCGCTGCTCCCCGGACCTCTCCCAGGGTGCGCGCTGACCAGAACCTCGAGGCGAGTCCAGTGGAAGGCGACGAGAACCTCCCAGGAGAGCGCAACAGAAGGGGAGCACGGGCGAAGGGAAGAGGTATGGGTACCTTCTTCCTCCTCTGAGGAGATGCCCCAGGAGGTCGGGGACAACCCGAGACGCTTCTCGACCCGTGCGGCTCGCTGCCGACAGGGGAGGAGGCAGAGCCTCGCACCCGGCTGCTGCTGCAGCCTGCGGCTCAGACACGTCACTGCGCAGAGGACATCCGCACACCACCACGGGGCCCGCCGGGGGCCTTCCCGGGCCCCGGCGCGGTGTACGCGCCCTCCTGGCCTCGGCCCAGGGGGTCCGTGAACTGCCCATCGGTCAGAAGGAGCAGGTGGAAACAGGAAGCAGGGGGGGCGTTGAGAGCAGATCGGGTTCCCACCCGTCCCCTGAAGAGGACGGAAGAGGTGGAGCCACTCCTCGATCATTGAGGTAGGAATGCGCTCAACGTACATTGGCTGGGTAGTCGAAGCCAATCTGGCGGGCCCGATCTGGCCAACGGTGGCAATCTGGCAAGGGAGCCAGCGCGAATCCAGCCTGGCGAACAACAAAACCCCCCAACCTGGTCAGGCCAGATTGACCCCAGGAGCCCAATCCAATCTGCCAGTCTGGCCTGCGACTACCCAGATTGGAACTTAGGAGACCAAAAATACCTACTCTCAACGACCGATGGGCATCCTGGGGCCCAGGATGACCCTGGCCAGGCACGGTGGCAGCCGCAGGGGGGGACAAAAGGACAGCCAAGCAGACCCTGCGGGGCAAAGAAGCACCCAACAGCGCCCACGACCAGCAGGCGTGGTCCTTAGTGGGCCCTGGAAACGACAAGGCGGTTTTTTGACCGGTTCCGTTTTGCCCTTTTGTTGCCGGTTCCAGCGCCGTTTTTTTACCGGTTCCGTCGCCGTTTTTTTACCGGCTCCGGCTCCGGTCCCAATCCTGGAGCCGTTTTTGTTGCCGTTTCCGGTCGCCGTTTTTTTGCCGTTTCCATTTTCAAGGGACATGTTTTTGGAAAGGGTGAAAAAACGGCCCTGCCGTTTCCGGGGCCCACAAAGGCGTGGTCTGCTCTTGGTGGCATCTGGACGGCCCGTGCCGAATGCGCTCCTTACACCTTGAAAGTGGCAGGGCCGCCACGGCCTTACAGCTTCGGCCCTTCACATCTCAACCCTCTCTTCCACGTAGACACAGACGTTTGAAGGTGTTCCTCTGGAATCAGACGCCACAGCGGAGTCGTTCGATTCCAGTGGGGTAATGTGGTGTGCGGCCTCCTTTGGAAACTCGTCTGGGATAGCATCGCCCCCTTCTGCCTGCCCGTCACTGGACAAGGGAGTCATCAGAGAGACGCCTGAGTTTCCTTCAGATCCTGAACTTCTCTCAGATACTGCCGCGTCATCGCCACCGTCACGTGCCATGGTTTGCAAAACCTTCTCGGGTGCCAGAGCCGTAAGCAGATCGGTGAGCTTCTGATGGGTCACGGTACCAGACCCGTTGCTGTCCAGAACACTGAAGAGAACATCGATCTCCTCCTCGGACATGTCCAACTGCGTGAAGCTCAAGATCTTCCTGCTGAAGTCAAGTTTCGTCAACTCTGGTTCTGAGAAGATCTTACTCTTCGCCGTTTGAAGAATTCCGCTTGCCATGCCGGTCTCCTCCTCGTGAAGGGAGAGGGGGCGCCTCGGGGTGAGAACGGCCCCGATTGCCGAGTGGAACGCGCGGATGCTGTTGCGGCGCGTGCCCGTGACGGCCCGCGCCATTGGGGTCATGCTGCGGGACACAATGTCCACTGGCGACGACACCCGGCTTGACGGCGCTCGCCCCGACTTCGAAATTTCCAGGGCCAGGTGTAGCAGGCGCTCACGAAACCGCATGCTCTGCTCCAGCCTCTCCTGCAGGCGGCCCGACTTCGACGCCTCAAGGAAACCAAGCACTCGCCTGCCGTGATCCCACACCTCGTGCTCCCGTCCGGGAATCAGCCGCTGGCTGGCCCAGCGCGAGCTCTCCTGCTGGCCGAAGATCACGTTCTTGATGTTCTTCGTTACTTCCAGCAGTAATGCACGATCGCTGTCACCAATGTTGGCCAATCTCTTTGCGTACTCCTCCTCCGGCATCATCAGCAATGCTAGTGACATGTCGCGGAGATGCCACATGGCTCTTGCTGTTCTGACCTGCTTAATACGGACATTCTGCATGGATGACATGACATCGTTCACAAATCCGCCACCGTGCCACTGGGCACGGAGTGGGCGTGTCCTCAGGTCTGTTGCCCACTTCCCTGAGCCGAAGTCCTTATCCTGAGGAGTCTTTGCAGGACCCAGAGCCCGAATTGTCAAATCTCAAGGGGCTTCCCGCATGCCCCCTGGGCTCCAGGAAGACTTGTCACATCATTGTCCCGGGCCCAAAAGGGCCCCAATGTTTGAAAGAGCGTGTTCTACCGCTGCTGGCGGAAAACCGGGGGGGGTCACTACCGGTTCGAACCTCTCCCCCCCACCCCCCTCCGGAAAACCGGGGGGGGTCACTACCGGTTCGAACCCCTCCCCCCCCCCCCCCAGCTCATCATGAAAAGGGGGGGGGGTCACTACCGGTTCGAACCCCCCCCCCCTCGAAAACCGAGTGGGGGTGCGGACAGAGGTGGGGACGGTGTTGGTGGGGACAGTGGTGAGGGGACAGCGGGACAGTGGTGGGGACAGTGGGACAGTGGGACAGTAGAGGGCCGGTAGTGGTGGGGACAGTGGTGGGGACAATGGTGGGAACAGGGGGGACAGTGGACAGTGGTGGGGACGGTGGTGGTGGGGACAGTGGTGTGGGCACAGTGGGAATGAGGTGGAAACAGTGGGACAGTGGAGGGTACAATGGTGGTGGGGACAGTGGTGAAGGCGGTGGCGAGGACGGCGGTGGGACAATGGGACAGAGGTACAGTGGGGACAGTGGTGGGGACAGTGGGGACAGTGGTGGGAACAGTGGGACAGCTCAGTGGGACAGCGGCGGAGTCAGTGGGACAGTGGGGACAGTGGGGATAGTCGGGCAGTGGTTGGGGCCGTGGAGACAGTGGGGAGAGTGGAACCGTGGTGGGAACAGTGGTGGGGACAGTGGGGACAGTGCGACAGTGGTGGGGGCACTGGTGGGGACACAGTGGGGACAGTGGTGGTGAGGACAGTGGTGCTGGGAACAACAGTGGAGGATGTGATGCGGACGGTGGTAGGGACCGGGAGTCGTTTGCTGGCGGTGAGTGGGGGGGTGGGGAGGGGTTCGAACCGGTAGTGATCCCCCTCCGGTTTTCGAGGGGGGGGGAGGGGGGGGGGTTCGAACCGGTAGTGACCCCCCCTGGTTTTCCGGATCCGGAGGGGGGGGGGGGGGGGAGGGGTTCGGACCAGTACCCCCCCCCGGTTTTCGAGGGGGAGGGGGGGGGGGGAGGGGTTAGGGGAGGGGGGGGGTTTTGCCGGGGGAGGAGGGGGGGGGGAGGGGTTCCAGCAGGGGGGGGGGATTTTCGGAGGGGGGGGGGAGGCGACCCCCGGGTTCCGGAGGAAAAGGTTGGCAATTTTCCACAGTAAAGCGGCGGTGGATCACGCTCTCTCCAATGTTTAAATCTCGATGTATATATGTGTGTATATATATGTGTGTATGTATATATATATATATATATATTCCTATATCTTTACAAGCGCGGGCGGGGGGAAAACCCGTCCCCCCCCCCAAAACGGCACAACAGGGGTCCAAGATGGCCCTCAGAGAGCCCCATGGCGGCCCAAGATGGCCCCAAGACACCCTCCGAAGCATTCCAAATTGTGACCTGGTCGTTCAGGGAGACCGCGGTTGGAGGCAGGGTGGTCCGAGGAAGCCCCCAGAGGCCCCCAGAACACGCCCAGGAGGCCTCCAAAAGGCCTTAACAAAGCCTGAAACGACTTTTGTGAGGCCCCCAGAGACTCTCCAAGGACGAGCCTCCGCAAAAAGAGCTGAGGAGGACGGGGAGAATGCGCAGGGCATGGCGAAAATGAGGAAAAAGAACATTGAAGAAGGGATAACGAATATTATTATAGCGGCGATGCCAGAAAAGGCAACAAGGAGTTATCGCTAAATTGTCGGCTTGACCGTCCTGCTAGTCCGCCTGCACGCCAAACTTCAAGGACCAAGGTGCATGGCGCGAAGCGCCACTGCAATCTTGTATGTATATATATATATATATATATGTGTGTGTGTGTGTGTATGGGCCCAAAGGGCCCCCGGGAAGCTCCCCAGACGATCCAAAAGCGCCCCGAGTCGCCGAACGATGTCTCAGACTGCCCTAAGGCGGCCCAAAAAGGCCTCCAAGACGCCCCAAGAGGCCTCCAAGAGGCCTTCCAAGTTGGCCCGAAGAGGACTTTCCCACGGTGTTTGAAAGTTGTTGGCGTTCTCGCTTTTTCGGCTCTCCGACGCTCCAAGACAGACCAAGAGGCCCCCAAGACCACCCCAACACGGCCCAAAAGGCCTCCAAGAGGGCCCCAAGACGGCCCAAGAGCGCCCCAAGACGGCCCCCTAGAGGCCCCAAAACAAATAAAAAGGGGCCCCTAAGAGACCCCCAAATGATCCCCAAGTGGCCCCAAAACTGCCTCCAAGAGGCCCCCGAGAGGCCTCCCACGAGATCCCAACGAACATCCACTAGACTTCATACCCAGAACCCAGGCACGGTGGCGGGCTGGGCCGAAGGCAATTAAACCTGCTTGGCATGGGGACGGAAAGCGCGTATATTTTGCGAGGGCGCGAGGTCGCTGGCTTAGTGTCTTGGAGCCCTGCTGATGTTAAGGGTTCGGTACGACATACAGAAATCTAGCAACCAACCTTGCGAAAATCAATGAATATTTCATTTCCGGGGCTTCCTGGGGGTCCTTGGGGGGCTCTTTTGGGCCGTCTTGGCGCCCTTGTGGGCCGTCCTGGGACCCTCTTGGGCAATCTTGGTGGGCTTGGGCAGTCTTGGGACCCTCTGGGGGCCCTCCTGGGTCCCTTTGGGGACCTTTGGGGACCTCATATGGCCCTCTTGTGGCTCTCTTGGAAACCTGAAGGCCCTCAGGGGCCTCTCGTGGGCCGTCTTGGGGCTCTCTTTGGCCGTCTCGACGCCCTCTTGGGCCGTCCTGGGGGCCTCTGGGGACGTCTTGGGGCGGTCTTGGGGGCCTCCTGGGCCGTTTGGGACGCATTGAAGACCAAAGAAGCGAATATGCTAAAAATGCACGTTTCCCTACAGGAATGGGACGTTGTTTGCCTCTTGGGGATCCCCTTTGGGGGCCTCTTGGGACGTGTTGGAGGCCTGGTGGCGGGCTGGGCCGAAGGCCATTGGATACGCCGCCATTTCATTAATCACAGGGGTGCCTGGCGTGCTAGATCCTACCGGTTTTGGTTTGGTTTTTGTCCACCAGAACTCCCCCTGGGGCTTCGACCCAGCGAGCCGGCCCCGCGGAAAACCGCTGAAAGGGACCGGAAACGACCTCCACGTCCGCAGAAAACCCTCTGAGACCGCTCAAAATGGCCTCTAAGATGGTCACGTCTGCCCAAGATTGCATCCAAGTTCGCCCAAGATGGTCCAAGATACTCTTCAAGAGGGCCCAAGGGGGTTCAAGATGCCTCCAAGTCCGCTCAAGAAGTCTCCAAAACGGTCCAAGAGGGCCCAAGAGGCCCCTCAAGAGGCCTCCAAGACGGCCCAAGAGGCCTCCAAGAGGACCTCCAGGAAGGCCCGAAGAGGCCAACATCATTGAGCTTCCTTATGTGCTCTGACCATCCTGTGGTGTTGGGCCCCCTTGTTGAAGAGACAGCGCCCCGCGTTCCTTCCTCCTCTCCTGCTCCCTCCTCCCTCTCCTCCTCCCCGCTCCTCCTCCCCTCCTCTCCTCCTCCGACTATTTCACCTTTGGGGGCTAGGCCAGTGGTGGCGTAAGTGGCGGATCCCCGTGTGGTCCCGAGCGCCACCCACTTGGCTAGCCGCACTGTTCGAGCACGCACACAGCGAAGCCGCGCGTCGCATCAACGCCTCCCCCTCCTTGCCTCTGCCCTCCGCATCCTCTCCTCCTCCTCCTCGTCCTCCTCCCCCCTCCTCCCTCCTCCCCCTCCTTGCCCCTGAGGCCCCCAAGACGGCTTCCGACGGCGTCAGACGGGCCAGGAATGCCCCGAGACGGCCAAAGAAGCCCCGGAGAAGCCCTCAAAGGCCCGCAAGAGGCCCACGGAGGTCCCCAAGATGCCTCCAAGAGGCTCCCAGGAAGCTCCCAGGAGGCCCCAAGAGTGCCCCCAGAGGGTCCCAAGATGCCCCCTCCTCCTCCTCCTCCTCCTCCTCCTCCTCCTCCTCCTCCTCCTCCTCCTCCTCCTCCTCCTCCTCTTGGTCTTCCCCGCCATTCTCCCCCAACTGTTCTCCGAAGGGTTTCCACAACGGCTGGGGAAACACATGGCCCGATAGCTTGGCAGAGCTCTTGCCACAACGCTCGGCAACATGGGCGATTTCAAAAGGCAGGGGCGGCGGTGATTCGCCGTAGGCGTCTTCGATAGAACAAAACAAAATGTGAAAGCACCGATCAAAGTAAAAATAATGACGTGCGCCCAAACATTATTCATCTGGTCTCGCTCCGACTTCGGCATGCTACTAACATCAATGAAAGCGGTTGTAAGCATCAAGAGAACTATCAAAGCAATTTTGCACATCACTTCCACCCAATTGTTGGAATCAAACTTCCAAGGCCAAGCACCGTACAGGATTACGGTAATCACGAACATGAACAGCGCGCTTGTGTAGACATGAGAATGCACATTGTTAGCTGGGAGGACAACCTGCACAAGGCAAAGGGACAATCCAAAGGACATCTTCACCAAGATCCACCACCAGCGGTCTGGACGCTTGGTACCGAAACAGAACCTGTACCGTGCAATGAATCCGCGCTCGGTGCCGATCCGCCTTGGCGCAGTGAATACAGTATACGCGACATAGGTATAGATGGTGAGCCCGTACGCACAAGTCGCGAACAGATTGATCGGCAAATACACTGTCCATGAGGGGGATCCGTACTCCAGCTGTGGGAAAGCAATGATCCGCTGGCCCCTTCGCTGGGGGTCACCATGCGTGGGTGAGTGTCCTCTCCCCGGAGCCCTCTCCGAAGGGAGCCACTCGTCGTCTGAACGGGGCCGCGTTGCCTGGGGGGCTGGCTTGACAAAAGACAGACCACGAGTTGACGTACTTCCAGCGTCTGGCGGTCCCGAGAAGGTTCCAACACGACCCTAGGACGCACGGAGGGCCCCGCAGCGGCTCGAAAACTGCCGTAAGATGACTGCCCCCCGACAGCTGGCAACAGGCCCGACATCCCACTGGCTACGTGGAGCCAAGCCCCATCCTTTTGCATAACCTAAGCTGGCTCCGAACGGGAGCAACACTCATATGAGGCTGCCTTGTCGGGGTCCCTGTCGCGAACCCTTGCCCGCTCAAGACGGGGCCCCACCATCCCAGGAGACCTCCCAGATGCTCTCACAATCGCCTCGTATACCCCTGGCCACCATAGAGCCCCTTACATGTTCTAAGGAACCCCCAAACCGCCTCGTGCACATTCCCAAGACCTTCAAACCGCTCCTGATACTGCACATAAAAGATACATGTGACAAGTTCGAAAGTACAAACCTTAAGCGAGCACATCACGGTTCGAGCGGACACGACAACTACGGCACGCCCCCGAACAGCAACTACAACCTCCTGAGACGGACCCTGGGGGCGCCATACGCCAGAAACCCTGAACAGAAACTGGTTAGTATGCTTCTCTGACGTGCCTCTGTAGACATCCGACTACACCCAGCGGAGCCACGACCCAGGGGGTCCCAAGACCGCTCTGGAGGGACTCTCCAGAAACCGCCTACCGAACCCCTAACCATTTTCAATATTAGCAAGCGTGGACCCCAAACAATGTGTTTCCAGCAAAGTATGGAGTGCACTCTAAGTGGGGAAACCCACGTTGTGCAATGCATGTGGTGCCATAGATCGTGTGCAAACTATGGTGTGCATCCGACGTTGCGCAACCTAAGGGGTGCAAACCACGTGGTGCAATATGTGCGGTGCAAGCTATGTGGTGCGAATTCTACGAGGTGCAACCAGCGGACCAGCGTGGTGCACTCTAAATGGTGCAATAAATGCTGTAACAACTATGTGGTGCAACGAATGTTGTGCAATATATGTGGTGCGCTCTATGGTTTAAGGTATGCGTGCATGTATGCAGATATGTACGTATGTATGTATGTATGTATGTATGTATGTATGGATGGATGGATGGATGGATGGATGGATGGATGGATGGATGGATGGATGGATGGATGTAGATATGTAACTCTGAATAGTTGCACATACGTAGCTATGCAACTACATATGTATATAAATATATATATATATATATACATATACACGTAAATGCGGCGCAAACTGCTGGTGCAGTCAATGGTGTGCAATATAGGTTGAGCAAAATGTGTGGTGCAATGTATGTGGTGCATTCTATGCGGTGATAATGTAGTGCAACGTATGAGGTGCATTCTAGGTGGTACAACCGATGTGGTGCAATTGATTTTACCAGCGGGTTGACACATCCCATGTCCTTGCAAGCATCCCACCCACCCACCCGCAACGTGGTTTGCAAAGCCCATGCGGCGGCGATTGCGATGAGTGTTTGGCGTTGGTTGGTGCATCTCTGCGGCCGCGCCGACCCAAGCACGCGCGCGCAGCAGCCACTGAGTTTGGCGCGACCGACGCGGCCGCGGTGGCGCTGACCGCTGGGCACATCCCAGCGGGCACTTCAACGCGAGTCGGCGACTTGGGGAGGCACGGTATCATGGCAACGCCGGCAGCGGTAGACACGATGATGATAGTAGCGATGCTGGTGACGATGGTGATAATGACGACGGCGTGGCCAGTGCGGGCGCCGATGCTGATCACGCCGACGACGATGACGGCGTCCTCGCGTCCGTGATGAAGGCTTTGGAGAGAGTTCGACATGCACGCGCGGCCGACGCGCGAGTGGCCCGTATGGTATTATCTGACACGGATCGTGCCCCCCAGCACGCGCGCAAGGGCGTGCGAGGGATTTCGGCATGCGGCACCATAGGACCGTTTGGCAAAGTCCATGAACATGTTGAAAAACCTATGGTATTCTTAAGAATTCGCAAGAGCGCGAGCGCACGTGTGTTCCCCAACCATCCTGTGGTGTTGGGTCTTCGTTTTGGGGAGATGGTCCCCGCGTTCCCTCCCTCCTTCCTTCCCTCATTCCTTCCTTCCTCCTCCCCTCCTCCCTGCACCGCCCGCATGCGTCACGCACACCCAATTCGGCACACCCCTCACACGTTTCGTGGCCCCATAGGGAGCTTCACCGAAGGCCCCAGTGCCACCGCCCGTATGCGTCACGCACACCCATGTCGGCACACCCCTCACACGCTTCGTGGCCCCACAGGTCCACCGAAAGCCCCAGTGCCACTGCCCGCATGCGTCACGCACACCCATGTCGGCACACCCCTCACACTTTTCGTGGCCCCATTGGGAGCTGCACCGAAGGCCCCAGCGCCACCGCCCGCATGCGTCACGCACACCCAAGTCGGCACACCACTCACACGTTTCGTGGCCCCCTAGGGAGCTCCACCGAAGGCTCCAGCGCCACCGCCCGCATGCTTCACGCACGCCCGATTCGGCTCTCCTCAAACGTTTTGTAGCCCCATACGGAACTCTACCGAAGGCCCCAGTGCCACCGCCCGCATGCGTCGCGCACGCCCACTGTACACCCATCACACGCTTCGTGGCCCCATAGGGAGCTCCAACGAAGGCCCCGGTGCCACCGCCCGTATGCGTCACGCACACCCAATTAAGCACACCCCTCACACGTTTCGTAGCTTCATAGGCAGCTCCACCAAAGGCCAAAAGGCCCCAATGCCACCGCCCGTATGCGTCACGCACACCCATTTCGGCATCCTGCTCACATCCTTGGTGGCCCCATAAGGAACTCCACCGAAGGCCCCAGTGCCACCGTCCGCATGCGTCACGCACGCCCATTCTGGCACACCCTTCACACGTTTCGTGCCCGCTGCACAAGGAGCTCCACCGTTTCGCGGCACCATAGGGAGCTCCACCGACAGCCACAATGGCTACGTTCGCATGCGCCCACCGCACCTATTTCGGCACACCTCTCGTTCGCTTCGTGGCCCCATAGGGAATTCCACTGACAGCCCCAGTGGCTGCTTTCGCATTCGCCCACCAGGCAAATTGTTGTGCACACCTCTCACACGTTTCGTGGCCCTTTAGGGAGCTCCTCCGAATGCGGTGCATACAACGACGGTACTCACAACTGCGCATGGTTGGGTCCTTCGCCAGGCGCTGAATTGACAACTGAAGTTGCGAAACCATGTGTTTTCAGGCTTATACTCCCAACAAGCCTTTGGTGTTGGGTCCTTATTTTGGAGAGACGGTCCCCGCGTTTCTCCTCCTCCCGCTCCCCCCCTCCCTCCTCAATCATCATCGTCATCACCAGTTTCAGCACACCCCTCACACGGTTCGTGGCCCCCACCGAAGGCCCCAGTGCCACCGCCCACATGCGTCACCCGCACACCCATTTCGGTACACCCCTCACACGTTTCGTGGCCCCACAGGGAGCTCCACCGAAGGCCCCAGTGCCACCGCCCGCATGCGTCACGCATTCCCATGTTGGCACACCCCTCACACGGTTCGTGGCCCCACAGGGAGCTCCGCCCGCATGCGTCACGAACACCCATTTCGGCACACCTCTCACACGTTTCGTGGCCCCGCAAGGAACTCCAAAGAAGGCCCCAACGCCACCGCAGACCACGACCCATGGCCGAGAAACCGAGAAAACGAGAAAACGAACAAGGGTCCGAGAAAACAAGACCACGACCCAGGGGCCGAGAAAACAAGAAAACGAGAAAACAAAACCAGCGTCCGAGAACACGAGACCACGACCCAGGGGCCGAGAACACAAGAAAACGAGAAAACTAACCAGAGACCGAGAAAACTGGACCACGACCCAGGGGCCGAGAAAACAAGAAACGAGAACACGAACCAAGGTCATAGAAAACGAGACCACGACCCAGGGGCAGAGAACACGAAAAAACGACAAAACGAAGCAGGGTCCGAGAAAGCAAGACCACGACACAGGGGTAGAGAAAACGCGAAAACTAGAAAACTAAGCCGGGTCCGAGAAAACGAGACCACGACCCAGGGGCCGAGAAAACGAGAAAACGAAACAGGGCACAAGAAAACGAGACCACGAACCAGGGGCCGAGAACACAAGAGAACGAGATAACGAACCAGGGCCCGAGAAAACAAGACCACGACCCAGGGGGCGAGAAAACAAGAAAACAAGAAAACGAACCAGGGTCAGAGAAAACAAGACCACGACCCAGGGGGCGAGAAAACAAGAAAACAAGAAAACGAACCAGGGTCAGAGAAAACGAGACCACGACCCAGGGGACGATAAAACAAGAAAACAAGAAAACTAATCAGGGTCAGAGAAAACCAGACCACGACCCAGAGGAAGATAAAATTAGCCTGACGAAAGATCCAACCGTATGCAGCTGCGAATGCCGCATTGTGGGTACCGCTTTCGATGGAACTCCCTGTGGGGCCACGAACCGCGTAAGGTTTGCCAAAGTGGGTAGCAATCCCCAGATGCGGCCTGTGCCGCTGGGGCCTTCGGTGGAGCTCCCTGTGGGGCCAAGAACCGTGTGAAAGGTGCGCCAAAATGGGTGGCGGTCCCCGCGTGCGGCCTGTGCCACTGGGGCCTTCGGTGGAGCTCCCAATGGGGCCACGAACCGTGTGAGGGGTGTGCCGGAATGGGTGGCGGTCCCCGCATGCGGCCTGTGCCACTGGGGCCTTCGGTGGAGCAACCTGTAGGACCACGAACCGTGTGAGGGGTGTGCCAGAATGGGTGGCGGTGACGCATGCGGACGCACCCACTGGGGCCTTCAGTGGAGCTCCCTATGGGGCCACGAACCGTGTGAGGGGTGTGCCGTAAAAGGTTGCGGTGCCGCATGCAAACGCACCCACTGGGGCCTTCGGTGGA